AAGACACACCACAAACAGACACACCCACACGCAGGCACACCCGCACACAGATACATACACCCACACACAGGCACACACCCACACACAGACACACAATCACACACATCCACACACAGACACACCCACACAGACACACTCACACACGCCACACACAGACACACCCACGCACGGACAGACGGACACACACACAGAGACACAGACAACTCCTTCGAGAACAAGTGCTTTGCATTGCACAGCTGCAAAAAACGCATAAAAACGAATGGAGAGGATGCTCCATATCAAGTCAAGAATTCCTCTGTTTTTACAAATACCAAGGCTTCAATTTGGCAAAAACATTTATAGAAGCAAGTGGTATTTTAAAAAAGAAGACGCTACCGTATTGTAGAGCGGCCATCATTATTCATTCTTGCGAGTAGTGCCTTCTCATCATCGCTCGCATTGCGATGCTTTTTCAAAAGATTTTCTTCCGGGTTACCAGTTTCAGAAGGATATTTGATCGAAGGAACACTCTGCTTTTCTCCCTGCAATAATCGATGGTCCCCATCTATAAAGAATTTGTTAATGTGGTTTAATAACTTGGGGAAAAATGAAAAACTGGGTATGCAAAATAAGCTTGCAGAGATTATTTGGGAGATAGAGTAACCTCGGACTGTTTGTTCGACAGCAATTTGGTTTGCATTGCTGGAACACCACCGTCACAATCAGTAACATCGTTTGCGAGAGATTTTTTCTGGAAAAAAAAGCGCATGTAAGTATTCATCTTACGTCTCATTGAAGGAAAACGCTAAAAAACCTGAAAGGATTACAGCCGTGTGAAGCGCACTACGCCCGAGCACTTCTTACCGAATATTTTTGTGCATCACACAAAGCAGAATGATTATTCAAACATCGAATAAAGTAATTACATGAGGAAGTAAACACAAAGAAAAGCGTGCTATAAAAAGTACATAAATGGTAACCCTCTACTGTTGCTCTCGGTATCTCGCAACTCAGAGTCCGAAAACATTTAAAGCCCTGAGGCTGAATTAAAAACCTTTTAGTTCTGTTCTGGCGGGGAATATAACCTCAAAATTTCAGCTTTCTAGCTTTTCTGCCTGGTAATGGCTATGCAGCGAAAAGACCGATAAAAATGGGTAAGCTAAAGGACCAAAAAAACAGTAAAAGAAATATGAGACAACTACCATTCCATTCTGTGGCGGCAAAGAACGATGTTGCAAAAGGAACAAGGTGTAACTACAAGGAAACGAAGCTGCCGACCAAACCCTTCGCCTTACCCAGTTGCCCTTCGACCCCATGTGTTATGCAGATGTCTCGTCTCTTGACTGTAGTTCCCTCTCCGTGATATTTAATGCGTTGGTTAGAAATGAAATGTGGAATTGTTTTTGAGCTACACAAGTTGTGCGACTGCAGCTTGGAGCTCCGGTCTCCTTGTATTGTTCACTGGTGGCCTGGAACTGCTGCCGGGTTTTTTTCGCGGTTTGTTTTTCTGGTTCTTTTCTTTTTTTTTTTGGTTCAGCGATTCTTTACTAATAAAGAATTGTTTAATAGTTTGGGTGCGTGCATTTCCCCCCGCGCTACACTTCCGGCCGAGCAAGT